TGTTGGGGCAGGAGTGGGTGAAGGCTGCCCCATTCCCAGAGATTTCCAAGGAAAAGGCTTCTACTTCATCCCTTGGATTTGCCTTCTTCATTCATGACCCTTTTTCAAGGAAGCTCATTCTGATATCTCTGTCCCTGTTTCCACTGGCCACGTTCCTTGAGGAAGAACACATCAGACCAATAGCATCCACTTGTGTTTCCAGATGGCTGGAGGGTAGGGCCTAGCCTTCGTGAGTCTAGCCCCCACGAACCCCAAATGAAGCAGAGATGGGACTTGCTTCCACGGTGATCTGATGACCAAAGCAGATGGGGTAAAGCAGGTAGCGTGGTATTGGTCAAGAGCGCTGGATTGGAGTCCAGAGGTTCTGGTTCATCCTGGGCTTTAGGCAAGTCACTTTCCCTTCCAGGGCCTCAGTTTCCTTTCTACCACATGATACTTAACATTCTGCCTTTCTCCCAGGGCTGGTGTGAGGATCAAGGGAGACAGTGACTGTAGAGAAGCCGCATGAATTGCAAATGTGGCTATAGGAGCACTTTGCTAACTTCCCTTGTGAGTTCAGATTCTTTTTTTTTTTTTAAACATTTTTTTTAATGTTTTATTTATTTATTCGTGAGAGTCAGAGAGAGAGAGGCAGAGGCAGAGGGAGAAGCAGGCTCCCCGCCGAGCAGGGAGCCCGATGCGGGACTCGATCCCAGGACCCTGGGATCATGACCTGAGCTGAAGGTAGACGCCTAACCATCTGAGCCACCCAGGCGCCCGTGAGTTCAGTTTCTTAAGGGTATTTGACATGCCCAGGTCTGCGCTGAGGGGTGACATAGGGGAAGAGGAAGATTTGGCACCTGCTCTGACTCCAGTCTTGCTAACACACGGGAAACACTTGGCAAGTCACGGCCCTGCCTCGGGGGAAGAGAACAGCCTGGGAAGCTTCAAGACAGATTGACCTGGGGGAGGTCTGGGGGCTGATTGAGATAAGACTCAGGTGGTGAGGAGTCAGGGCCATCTGGGTCAGTGCGGGCGAAGGTTTAGTGTGGGATGCATTGAGGAGAGCCGCTGGCCAGAGAAGAGTGCAGATAGAAGGAGGAAGAATAAGAAAAGGTTGCCCTGGGTACGGTGGGGCAGGCTACAGAACCTTAAAAGTTCACAGAAGAGTTTGTCTTCTTGGGACTCAATGCTGTGGGGACTAGGGAGCCATGGAAGGTTCTCGGGCAGAGAAATGGCAGCTGGACCCTAAGAAAGCAAGATCTGTCCCATATGGAGCATTGCAGGTGGCCCTCTGAGCACGCCAGGCACGAGTGTGCAGGGAGCTGGTGCAAATGCCTCCTGTGTATGGGCGAGCTTCTGTGTTGTGACTCAGCCCACGCGTGTGCTTCAGTGTGCCGAGTGGCTGCATGCCCCACATCCGTGCTGCACGTGCCGGCCAGTGAGGGCGCTGGGCAGTGGGAGGCGGGGGAGGTGTATGCGTGTTGTTTGCGGGCATGTGTGTCAGCGTGTGCATGCGGGGCCGTGGGGCCTCCCAGCATGTGTGTGCACGCCCGGGCGTGTGCGTGTGCGTGACCCCACCCCCAGGCCTGCCCCGTCCGTGCGTGTGAACTGCCATGTTGATTTGGTGCTGTCTTTCAGAATCACTATCAGTGATCCCTGAGGAGCGTCAGCCACGGTAGGTGCATACGGGCCTCTCTGCCTGCTGCATGAACGGTGTGTCTGTCCCCCACCCCTGCTGCACCAGCTCCACATGGGGGGGCGCACCTGGGACCTCAGAGCCAGGCTCCCCTCCCTCTCCCTTCTGCAGCTCCAGACTTATTCTTTCCTCTTTCTGTCCTCGCTGCCAGCTGGCTCTCTCACCTCCCTCTCAGCAAGCCTCGGGACTCAGTGCCACTGCTCAGGACCTCCAGGGCTGAGCCTGGGGAGCTCTTGGGACAGGCTCCGCGCCCAAGCTCTCGGGAGCCGGCAGAGAGGGCAGAGAGCTCATGGTCGATGGTGTAGAAGCAGGGAACTCGGAGGGGGTTGTGTGTGGGGCTGGACTCAGCCAGAGGCCTTGGAACTTTGTCCCAGGGGTGCCACACTGTCTCCCCAGTCTGAGCCGTGCTGTTGGGGCAGGGCAGCCAGCACCCAGCTCAGGGGCCAGAGCCATGGTAGGGCCCCGCCTCCTCTAGCGGGCCAGCTGTGGGGCAGCCATCCGGGGCAAAGGCTCTGGTGGGGTGCTGCTTTCTGAAAGCTGGAGGGCCCTGTCCACAGCTCACAGGCGAGGCAGGGTCACGCAGGCCATCTCCCTCCCTCCTTGGTATTGTCATGCCTGTGGAGGCACGACAAATGACAGTGTCCTCGGCCCCAGATGAAGCGCCATGGCCAGCCCACAGGCTCATGGCCCTGGGGCCTGGTGCTCCTAGGGCGACCTACGCTTTTCAGCCAAGGGGACCACAGTGTCCACCGACCTAGGCAAGTCAGCTTCTCTGGGTCCCACCCTGGCTGGGCCGCACAGTCACCCAGCGACCCGCCTGCCACTCTGTCCCTGCCGCTGACTCTTGCTCTTCTGCTTTTCCCCAGCAGGAAGGGCCCAGCCTCACCTACGCGACCTGTGGTCCCCCGACCAGCTGAGGCTCCCCTCTTAGACTTATAAGCCTGTGGCCGCTGGTATCCGGCTTGCCTGACCTCCCCGCCTCCCCAGGGTCCCTTCTGAGGACTCCAGGCTTTCTGCCCGCCCAGAGGGGCCTCCAGTGCCCCCTCCAGCCATCCTTTTAGCTTTGCCCTCCTGGTTCAGTGTTCTTTCTCCTCCTGTCTCTCTCCGTGAGGACTGGTGACTGTGGCCTGGGGCTCGCGGCCCCACACTCTGAGGCTAGGGGTGGCCCCGGGCCAGTACGTTGGAAGACAGGGAGGGCCGAGCATGTGCCTGGAGCTGTGGGTGCACTGCCTGGTGGTGTATGAGAGACCGGCGTGTGTGGCAGGGGGAGGGCCGCCCCGGCCTCCCCCCACCCAGAGACCCCTGGGAAGCTGTGGCCCCCACCCACCTCCAGTTCCTCCCGCCTTCCCTCTCTCTCTCCTCCATTCCAGAACCCTCACCCACACCCTCAGCTTTGTCTTCTCCCCCTGCCAGCCCCCTCCTGCCCCGCTGGGCTTGGCTGCCCTTGCCTTACCATTTCTCTCCCTCCTCTCCGTTCTCTCTTTGCTTTCTCTCCAACTGCCAGCCGATCGGGTCAGGCAAGTCCATCCCGTCCTGAGAGCCCCAGGCCCCCCTTCGACCTCTAACCAGATCCCTCCATTCCTCGGAGACCTCCCTTTCCAAGCCTGCCTGGACGGCTGTTCTGTGACTTAACAGTGGCTCCCCAGCCCCAAAGCCCCGCCCTTCATCTGTGACTTAGTCTGTTGTAGTGGTGAGCTGACACATCCAGGCGTGATGTTGGTGAACACTTGTGCCCCTCCGTGGTATTGCTCCTACCCCGTTCTATAAATAACTATAAATACTCACACACACACACACACACACACACACACACACAAAATCTGGCCGCCACAGCCTCGCCTCTAGTGTTGGGAATCCGTTACCAGGCTGTCCTTGAGGAGTCTTGTGGCCCAACTACCAGGGAACACTGTCACCCTGACATCCCCCTCTCCAAAGTGTGCCACCTCTGATGAGCCTCCCTGTCCTGCCCGGCCTGTGGACAGCCACTTTTTCCGTCCCTCCCCCGCTCGAGCCCGGGGGCGCTGTCCTGGCAGCCGGGTGGCTCTTTCCCACCGGTCTTGCTGTCTCTCGGCTAAGAATAAAACCCATTTCTGGACGATGGGAAACTGCCCTCTGCTGGCTTGTGTTCTTTGTGGAGTTCAGGGGAAGGGGAAATCTTAAACACTGGGGTGCAGGGGTGGGCAAGGGCCCAGCCATTGCTCGGGTGCTGTAAGGAGTGGCGGTAAAAGGCCCCATCCTTCGCAAGGCCTACTGGGAAGGCACCTGGGGGTTCACGAGTTCTCATCCTGGGAAGCCTGCTCTGCCCACTAGGGTGCAGGGGCACCGACTCGGCCTGGAGGGAGGATTGGGTGCTGAGACCCTGTTTTCCCTCCCCAGGATTAGATCAGGCTTCTGAGCCTCTGGGCTTCTGAGCCTCTGGGCCATTAGGACAGGAATGCCCCTGAGAGTTCCAGGGCAGGGCCCCCTGGGATCCCCCAGGCTTCCCCAAGCAGCATGGGGGTGACAGGCCTGGCCCACCTCTAACAGCTCTGCTCAGGCTCAGACACACTGGGGCTTCACACAATCCAGAAGCCTGCCCTCTGCTGGCAAGATCTCCTCCCTGTTCCATGCCCACAGCACAGACCCCAGTCCCTGGTGGCCAGTGACTGGAAACAGGCACCCACAAGGCCAAGTATGGCTAAATCCTTTTATTCTGAAATAAAAAGCAAACCCACAGGAGTCGAATCACCAGGGCAGAACCCCGTCCCCGCCTCCTTCTTCTGTCTTCCTCTGTCCTATGCTATCAATAAATAAGTGTCCCCATTCCCCAAATATTTAATAGAACTTGCTCCCCATTTGCCAGCTCTAACCTCTGCTATGATACAGGGGCTGCCCGATCCCCAGAATATACAAAATGTTACAGAAGTACAGTATATACACTGAGGGGGGAGCCCACCCCGCCAGCAGCTTATATATGCCTTTGCTGGGCCTCAGAGAGGCTTGGGAGAGTGCTGCCCAGTCGTCTAGCGGGACAGGGGGGCACTTGTGCCCCAAAGTGCCTCTGAATAGAGGATGCATGAGCCCCTCTGAATGAAGGACTGCACGGTGGGGGTGAGGAGGTCACCAGGGAGCCCCTGCTCCCCAAGAGAGGGAGCCCGAGAGAGAGCCTCCTAAATAAACTCTATATTTATTGAGCCTCCGGCTCTTTGTTCTTCTGGAACCATGAATAGTCCAGATATAAAGACACAGCTCTTGCCAAGGTGGCAAGTGGGTCTGCACCGATTTGTCTCCCCCCATTAGGGGGCCTATCATACCCCTTTAGGGGTTCTATCTTGCTAGTGTAGGAGAAAAGGGTGACTGGGAAGGAATGATAGGGTGGTAGGGACAGGGTGGGGGCAGAGCCCCCGGCCTCATTTCTTCAGATTTTGCTTGTTGGTGACAGGTGCTTAAATCACCATGATCTTCACCTCGTCATTGTCATCAGCCCGGTAGAAGAAGGGGATGCAGGGGTTGTTGCCCAAGCCTGGGCGTTCTTGGGGGTTCTGGATCTCACGCAGCAGCTGCATGATCTGCTGTGCGGTGGGGTTTTCAGGGGCACTGCGGCCCACCAGGGCCTCTCCCTGGGGAGGTGCCACACTATCATTGTCGGCCAGGCTCACCTCTCGAAGATCTTCGGGGGGAGAGAGAGGGAGGGTTCTGAGTGCTGTGCAAGCTCTCCCCGCCCCCCCTCAACCCACCCGCCCCCGAGGGCTCTACTCACCACCCTGGCCATTGGCATCGCCAAGCTCTTGGGCTGGAGGTGCTGCACTGGGCTCCCCAGCAGGGTTCTGGACAGTGGCCAGGAGCTTGCCCTGCCACTCATTGCGCTCGCCTACCAGGCGGAGCACCAGCTCCTGTAGCTCCAGCAATTTGACCTGGAGGGAGAGGTGCTGAGCCCCAGCGAGGCCCACCCCTGCCCCGCGCACCACTCCCAGGGACGCGCAGGGCCCCTACCTTCATCTCCTCCTTGTCTTGAGCCAGCCGGCTAATGTACTCCTCCTTCTCCCGGTGCCGCTCCTTGAGCAATGCCCTCTGACTCTGGTAAAGGGCTATATACTCTCCTGCGGGCGGGTGGGCAGATGGGCGGCCGCTCAGGCTCTCACCCCATCCCAGAGCTCCCGCCCCGTGCCGGCCCCGGGTGCTGGCCCTCCCGCTCACCAATAGTGTCCGTCTCTCCCGAAAGCTGGATGCAGCGATGCTCCAGCTCTTCCACCCGCTCCTTCAGCTCCACCTTCTCCTGCATGAGCTCCATGAATCGGCTCTGCGGCCAGAGCAGCGGGGGTCAGGGCGCGCCAGCCCGCCTGAGCCATCCCACCCTTGCCGGCCGAGCCACAAGAGATTCGCTCACCTGCAGCTTGTCCATGGCCGCCTGGAGGGCCTGGTGGGTCTCCCCAGGCACACTGTCGCCCCCACTCCCGGGGGCCGCGGCCATGTCCGGCACGTGCGGGCCCGGGGCCACCAGGTGAGCCAGGCGTTGGCAGCGCAGCCTTTGGTCCTTCAGCTGCCCACGCAGCCGGGCCCGCTCCTCCTCGGCGCCGGCTAGGGCCGAGTTAAAAAATGCCACCTGCGGGCAAGATGTGCTTTTGTGTGGGGGGCTACTCAGGGTGAGCATGGGGGTGGAGAGGAGCTCCTCCTCCCCCGGCCTCAGCGGGCCGGGCCCACCCGTGGTTCAAGGACGGCTCCCAGGGGTATCGGGGGTCAAGAGAAGTCGAGGGAGGCAAACCAAGAGGCAAGAAGGGTGCCCGGGGCAGGTCGGGGGGGACCTCAGAGGGAAGCAGGAAGGTGGCACCGGGAAGGAAGGGGCAACGGCGGGGGTCCGCTCACCATGGCCTCTCGGCTCTCCAGGCCCTCCGGCACGCTCAGCTTGGGCCGGGCAGCCTCCTCGTGCTGTTCCTCACTGTCCAGGTCGTCTCCTGTCGGGGCAGCCGGAGGCTCCTCAGACAACCCAACAGGGGAGGTGGAGCGAGCCGGGGAGGAAAGCTCGGGGCCCGGCTCCGCCCCGCCTTCCTGTGTGACCTCGGGCCAGCCCATCCCCAGAGGAGAAGGAGCCCCTTCGCGCTCAATTCGGTGCTGCTCAAAGTCGCCCTCTTCCTTGGGCTCTGTCCCCTTCCCCTGGGCACCCCCACTTACCTTCCCCAGGCATAGCCATGAGGCTCAGCTGGGCCTGGAGCTGCTGGTTCTGCTGGGTGGCAGCTTCCAGGCGTCCCTGAGGGGCCAGGAAAGAGTAAGAAGGGACACAGGTGGCAGGTCCTCCCCTCGGGGGCCCAGCACTCGAACCCCCTCACCTGGGTCTCCTCTAACTCTTGGCGGGTCTTCTCGGCCGCCACCTTGACCTGAACATCCTCGTGCTGCAGCCGGTCCATGAGCTGGGTCTGCAGCAGGACCTGCTTGTGCAGCAACTCCTTGTCGGAAGCCACCTGCTGGTAGGCAGCCACGTGCTGCTGACAGGCGGCCACATACTGTTGCAGGTGGCTCACGTACTGGTCCCGCTGCTGCTGCAGGCTCTCAGCCTCCCGGCTCTTCAGCTCCACCTGCGGGAAGACCCTGGGACTGAGGCTGTGGTGGCGGTGGCTTGTTGGGGGGGGGGGCGGGATTCGGAGCCCAGCTGGGGAGATGGGAGTGGGGGGCGGTTAGCCCTGCTGCCCGCCTGGGCCCCTGGCTCCCTCGCTCCAGGACCAAAGTCACTGCCCCCACCCCCCGCCCAGAGCTCCACTCCCTCACCCGGCTTCACACCTCATGACAGCCCTCCTTTTTAACTTTAGTGGAAAATCAAAGAATCAAAGCACGCCAACTGACATCTAAGTGTGCCCTGAATGCCTCACTTTACAGGCATGCTTCTCCCTTAATCCTCAATACCTCCGTGAGCAAAATGCTAATCTCCCTTTTAGACGACACCGAGGCTGAGAGATGAGAAGCAAAGAGTAACCAGTGGAGCTGCGGGCAGCATCCAGGGCTGAATCCGAGAAGCTGCCCACGGCACACCATCTCTTGCCCTCTGGTTAGGGGCTCGAGGTCTCTGGCCGCAGCGATGACCTCCATTCGGCCCAGGGCTACCCACTTCATAAAGTCAGAGAGCAGGGGGCGAGAAGGAGCCTGTGCCGCAGGCAGGCTGGGAAGGACCCTGGAGTCACGTGCCCCCCACCCCCAAGCTGGAGCTGCCTGTCCTGGCCAAGCCTCCCACTCTCCAGGCGAGTGTCTGTCCCCCAGGCTCCTCGGCCGGCGCGGGGGTTACCGTCTCCTTCAGCTCCCCCAGCTTCTCCTGCAGCTGGCCCAGCTTCTTGGCCAGCTCCTTCTTGACATGCTGCTCCGACTGCAGCGCGGTGGTAACCTCCATGTTCTCGTTGGACTGGACAGAGAGGAGGAGTCAGTGGCCACCCGGCGCAGCTGGAGACCCCAGGACGTGCTGTCTGCCTCCCACAGCTCATCTGAGCAGGGCTCTCTAGTTCACAGGGTGCCTTCATGGGGACCATATCAAGTGGGGTCCATACCCGCCCCCCAGTTTTACAGATGGGGAGACAGAGGCCCAGAGGGGTTAAGTGTCTCGCCCTGTGCCAGGGACCAGGCCAGGGAGGAAGGGCTGCGCACCAGCCTGACAAAGCCGTTCTGCAGCTCAGCCAGCTGCTCCTTGAGCTCGCGGTTCTGGGAGAGCGCGCGGCTGATGGTGGTGCGGTCGTTCTGCATGCTCTCCAGAATCTGCTTGCGCTCTTCGGCCTGCTCGCCCCAGCACTCAGCGGCGCGCTCCAGCTCCAGCAGCCGCTCCTCCTGCTCCCGGTTCAGGCGACTCAGACCTTCGTTGTCTTTCACCTGGGCCTGCAGCTGCCCTGCCAGGATCTCCAGTTCCTTCTGCAGTTGCTCAGCCTCTTCGTGGAGCCGCTGCTCCTCCTCCGAGGGCCTGGCTGGGGGCTCCGGGGCTGGGGGCACCGCTGAGAGGGGGCACACAGGAGGGGTGTGCCTCTCGCCTCTGTGCCTCCCGAAACCCCCTCCTCTTGGTCCACAGCTCCTAACTGGGCCTCGTCACCCCAAACCTTGGCCTCCTGGCTAACAGTCCCCTCACACTCATGGGACGTGCAATCTTTCAAGACACTTTGGAATAGAGTTCTTTAGGTTTTTATGCTCAAGACAACTCTGGGTGGTGGCCAGTGGGCGCTCCAACCGGACTGGCCAACTCCTGGCATAGACCTGCTTCCCTTGGCCACGGTCCCCTTCCAACCATCCACATCCCTAGGGGCATCCGAAGGCACCCTCACCAGCCCTCTGCCACCAAGCCTGCTCCCAGATCCTCCAGCCCCAGCTTACCTATCTGGTTCTTCAGTTCGGCCACACTGGCCTCCAATTCCTGCACCTGACTCACGCTGTGCTCCTTCTCGTCCCTCAATTTGTGCATCTGCCCAAAGCACAGGGGGGAGGGGCGTGTGGGGGGCGGGAAGGGAGGACCATCGCCCTCTCTACCCCTCCCCCCCATAAAAACTAGACAGCCGCCTCTGGCTGCACACAGCAAGTGAGAGGGTTCCCATTTTACTGACGCCCAGGAAAGACCACGTGACCTGTCTAAGGCGGGGGGGCCGAAGGTCACATCTCACCTGTTCAGACATCTGCTTCATCCTCTGCTGCCAAATGGCATTATCCTCCTTCAGATTCTCTGCATACTGGTCTCTCTCCAGTTGCAGTTGCTTTAGTGAATCTTTCAGCTGCAAGAAGGGGCGCAGAAGTTAGCAGGGGCTGTCACTGTGCCTCACGGGCTCCTGGGCACCTGGGGTCACCCTCCTCCCACCCCCCTCGCTCTGCAAGGCCTCACCTGCCCCACACGGGCCTCCAGGTGTGCCCGGTCTTCCAGGGCCTGCTGTAACTCCTGGCTGCTATCAGGGGTTTTCGATCGACTAGAAAACTGGAGAATGAAAGATGAAAAGGTTAGCTGTGGGGAGCCCAGGCTGTACCACACAAGGCCCCCCCGCAAAAGGGCCTGAGCTGGGATAACGTACAACTTGGGATCGATGAAAATCTCTATGCTCACACTGTTAGTACGGCATCCGTAGGCTTTCTGTTAACTAAATACTCATTGTAAGTGTTCCTCTAGCTCCCAATCCCCCCGACCTGCTGTACATCCTTCCAGATCCTTTTCTGGTTATAGTGAATAAGGCTACAAACTGGTCCAGGTCCTAGAACCGGGGCAGTCAGGGCACAGAGTGCGGGCGTCCATCAACTTCAGGGCAACCTCAAGTCCTCACTTTTTATCTCTAGCGGGCCATTTATTAGACTGCCCATCACAGGGACGGGCCACAGAGGCAACATTCAATTAACACTTGCTGAGCGGATGGGTGGCCAGACAGGTGGATGGGTGGAGAGCTCTGTCTGCTGCCCAGGCCAGACCAAATTTGGAGCTCTAAGAAATCGGGTCCCATATCCAGGAGAAAGCAATCAGGAGGGTGACAGACCACATGAGCAATAGCTGTGTAGCTTGGAAGAGACGAGGGAGCGACAAGGAATCTGCGCACGCACACACACACACACACACACACACACACACACACACACACACCCCACTGCCAGTATCGGAAGGTCTGTCTTGGGAAAGAGACGAGATTTTTCCTGTGTTGATCGGGAGGTTAAGAGCCCCACCGAGGGACACGACCTGAAGGCAGAGGATGGCTCAGTGTGAAGAAATTCTGACAGAGGGGAGCTCTCTGACCCTGGTGGCCTGCCCTCCGAGAGGAAGCAGACGGACTCACGGGCTAGCCTTATGCCTGCCATCTATACAACAATGGTTTTCACCCAGGATGCTTTAAAAAACAAAAATAAAAAAGCCGTATCCCTGAGATTCTGATGCCACAGATCTGGGCCAGGCCTCGATTTGTAGATTTTGATCAGTGTTTGGAGCAGCATTCTGTGGCGGGGCCAGAGCAAGGATCCAAATCTTCCAGCTCGTGGCTGGAGGCCGCCCACTACAATCCCGGGAGACAGCGGCCCCCGACAGCTGGGGCTTGGGCCTTACCTGCTGCAGCAGGAGCTCCGACATCTCCAGTTTCTTCTGCAGCTCCTCCATCCTGAGCTGCATGCCTGCCTTCTCATTTACCAGCACTCGAAGCTTCTCGTCCAGTTCCGAGTTCTGCTGCTGCAGGTCCTCGTTGTTTTTGCTGTGGCCACACGCGGCCAGGAAAGGCCCACCAGCACAGGACAGAAGGGAGCCCTCCGGTGACCGACCAGCCACACGTGCCGCAGAGCCACAGGACAGGGGTGCTGGCAGGGGCCCCCGGCAGCAACAGGCCCCAGCGGCAGGCCAGAGGGAAGACCTGAGCAGCCTGAGGCCATGGCCTGCGCTGGTGGCACCGCTGGGCCCAGCTCTGCACGGGTCCTAGGCTGTAGGAACCGCCCCCCCCCCGCCGCCACGCCCCTCCCGCTTCCCAGCCCGCAGCCCGCAGCCCAGCCCGCAGCCCGCAGCCCGCAGCCGTCCTACTTGTTTTTGTATAACTCCAGCTTCAGGGCATCTCGTTCTTTGGTTAAGTCTTTGTTGTGCTGCGAACACAGAAAGGCGGAGTCAGGCGCGGGCAGGGGGAGAGTGCGGAGGGCGGACTATCAGCTACCCTTGACACTTCGTTCAAAGCCTTTCCAAGCCCACGCTCTCATTCGCCTCGGAAAAGAGCCCGGGAAGGGTGGGAGGGACCCCCGGCTGGCCAGCGGAGGTCCGGACAGAGGGGGTGGCACTGCTACCAGGCACAAGCAGCATTGTGACTGGTCCTTCCCTGAGCCAGTCAGCAGGCACCAGGCTAAGGATCGCGTTCAAGCCTTGCGACCACTGCATGGGGCAGGCCCGACTGTGTCTATTTTACAGGTGAACGCAGATCGTTACAGGTGAAGTCGTTTGCCTGCAATCCCCAGCAGAGCTGGAATTAAACATCCAGTCTGTCTGATTCTTCACCCAGTTTCTCCCTGCGGTGGGGGAGCAGATCCAAGGAGTGGAATTAAATTTGCATTGGGATCTTCTGTCTCTTTTTTGAATGATCTATTCATAGGCCCAGCACTCATGAAGGTACAGAGGTGACAGGTCTCCCAGAGCTACTCTGTTCCTCTCCCTGGGTTTTTATAAATCCTTTCACGCACCTTCTATCTATTACACACATGCTTCCCTTCCTACACAAATGGTAACATACTAAAAGTACTGTCCTGTACTCGGCCAAGGCCCACAGCCGGTGACCGGCAGGGTTGGCTCTCTGGCTCTGGGCTCTGCATTCAGTGCTCGCTCCAGAAAACGGCCCCCACCACTGCCAATTCCCCCAAGACAGCCAGCTCAGCCCTACGTTTCTTCTAACAACTTTACAGTAGCAAGAAAGGGCCCGTGCTGCCTTCTGGGCAGTAAGACACTCCATCATGTGGAAGGGACCTGTCGGGGAAGCTGCAACTCCCACGGATGGGTCCCATGAGGGGCTTACCCTGTCCACCTGTTTCTGCTGTGTGGAGACAGCAGACAGGGTGCGCTCCAGTTCTCCAATGCGCTGGCGGGAAGACTGCAGGCGACTAGCAAGATCTTCAGACTCTCCTGGAATGACAGAGTTCGAAATGGAACCCAGGAAGGAATCCCACCCAAGGCCTACCAACATGCCAGGCTGAGGGATGGGAGGGTGTCTAGACCCCCACCTGCTTTCTGCCTGGCCGCCTGCTGTGTATGGGCCAGGGCTGTCTGTAGTTCAGTCTTCTCAGACACGAGAATTCCTATGGTCTGAATGTGAACCTTTGGGAGAGAAGGCAAAGGGGCGCTGAAGAGGAGGGAAGGAAGCGTTTCCTGGGGGGTGGGAGGGAGACCTCGGCTCCACACACCTGCAGCTGCTCCCTTAGAGACCCCTGTTCCTTTGCAAGCTTCTGCTCAAACTCCTTCTTCTCCTGCAGGAAGGAGGACACACAACATCCCCGACTGGGAGGAGGCAGAGATGAAACAGCAACGCTCCCAGAATGCCACCAATGGCCCAGGACAGGCTCAACAATGTGGCCAGATCGGGGGCGGGTTGGGGGGGGGGCGGCAACGGAGGGGGGGCAGGGGATGGGGAAGGGGTCGGGGATGAGGGGGCCTTTTATTCCTCCAGGCTAGGAGCAGACCAAGACGAGAATGGGCCTCTACATCTGAATCCTCCCCAAACCCATCTGCCATGTAATCAGCAAAGAAATCACATTACTTTTTCCAGTTGATCCAAGGTTTCCTGGTTCTGCTGTTTCTGTGGGGAGAGTCAAAGGAAGGTAACTCAGTCTGTCCCCCTTTACTACCCTCCCCACACCAAGACGGAGGATGGGCAGGGGCCAGGGACAGGTTTTAAAGGGAAAGTTCACGGGGACATGAACTGACAGACTCTCCTCAAGCTCCCAAGGAAAGAGACTTTGGGTCTTAAGTGGCTTTGCTCACAGCTATGCAAGTGAGAGTCTGGATCCAGACGCCCATGAAAGAACAAGGACCTAAACCTCTAGAAATGGGAGTTGAGAAGCGAGACCAGACTACCCTTCTGTCAGCTCGTGGTTCGGAAGGGTGCACTCATTCACAAATATTTGCTGAGCATGCCCTCGCCCCAGGCCAGGTTCTGTTCTTAATAGCAGGGATACAGGAATGAGAAGGACCTGATTTTCTGAGCTAAAAGGGACCTTGGCCACCTCTAATTCTACCTCCTCAGGAAACGGAAGCCCAGAGAGGAAAGGTGACTTTGTCCGAGTTGAAAGATGGAGCAAATTAGGGGCTGAGAGTCAAGGCCGGAGCGCACCAGTCAAACCAGTGCTTCCTCCAGAGGCAAGAGCCCCGGGGCAAGTATGCGGAGGACCCAAGCAGGGGTGTCTGAAGAACAGAGAGGAGGCAAAGAGGGCAGCCACAGAGAGCCATGCTGCATGCTCCGTGCTCCGGGGTCCCTCCAATGGAGACTTAGGCCCCCCGGCACCCCATTCTCCCTTGGCACCAGGGGCCCCCAGCCCCTTTCTTCAGAGCCCCAGGGAGAAACTGGAGCCCCAGACTGGCAGATGTGGAATCAGGGGACCCCACTGGACTCTTACCAATTCCTCTATCTTGCTACTGAGTTGTTTGTTTGTTAGATTGCTGGAATCCAGGGCTAGTGAGAGCTCTTGGTACCGGCTCTGAGGCGCATGCACAGGAGGAGGAGGAGGAGTTGGACGAGGGCGGGGGGGAGAGGTAGAGAGAGCAGTCATTAGGGTTGGGGGCTGTCTGCGCTGTCTCAGCTGGCAGCGGGGCACCCAGCCCCCACTGTGGGAGGAGGTGGGGGGGGGCTGGCCTGCAGGGTCACTGGGCCAGCAGTGGGCCAGTCCAGACCCACTTACCTCCAGATCCTTCATATTAGCAGACGCTGCCAGGCCCTCTCCATTGATGTAGGCTGAAGGCTAGGGGACACGAAAGGGCTCACATGGAGGTGTGCTCTGCCCCCGCGTCCGGACCTAAGCCGCCCGACCCCCTGGCCCGCCCGTCTGCTGCAGACCGTTGTGCCTAACCCCTTTGTGCCAGCTCCTCCCGGTTCTTAGCTCCCCCTCATCTGTCCCCTCCCAGGCAGCTCTCATCCTGTGCTTCCTGCAGAGGGGGCAAATAACATCACCAGCTTCGGCTTTGAGGTCCGACCCCTTCATTTGGGGAGCTTCAAAGACGACTCAGAGGAGTCCCGCCGAGCTGGACGTCGCCCAGCGAGCAGCCGCTCCCGGGCTCTCCTGCCCCTCCTGGCAACCTCCGCCTCATTTTTTCTGTCCTACCCCCCCACTCACCCCCCACCTTGGGTTTCAAGTCCTGGGGTACCTCAGACACAAGACCATTGAGCTGCTGAGACAGCTGTCGCAGGCTCTCGGTAGATGACACACATCTGGGGACGAACACAGGAGTCAGGGGTGCAGGAGGCTCAATGGGAAAGAGGGGTTCGCGGGCAGTGGCCTACCCCAACTCCCTCGGCCTAGGGACTGCTGCCCCCACAGGAGATACTCACTTGCTTTCATCCATGAGGAAAGGGCCATTTTCTGCATCATGACTCTGCTCAGGAAGAAACACATGAGGTGGTCACTCAGTTGCTGGTGAGACCACCCAGGGGTGGGGGGAGGCAAGCGCCTTCGGACAACCTGCCAGCTCCCCAGACTTCGAGGAAAGACCTGGTCTCGGCCTCCCCCACCTCAGTCCTCCGGAAGGAACCAAGGTCCCTGAAGAAAGGGGAAGAGGACCCAGAGCAGGTCCAGTCCTCCCGGGGGGAGGGGGGTGAACATCGAGTGGGGCGGCAGGCAAAGGGCGAGGAGGCACAAACCTTAACTGACGCCATGCTAGTGACACGGGGGGGACTAGCACAGCGGGAAGGGACACCATCAGGTGACACGGTGTCATCAACAGTCGGCGTGGCAGGAGCGGCGCAGTCTTTGGGCGCCTGTCACAGAACAGAGCAAGGGGTTAGGGGCCATGCACGTAAGAAGGCGCCTTGCTGCCACGGACGCAGGGGTGCAGAGCAGGCAGGACAGGTGTTGCTGTGGTCAGAGTGACAGTCACACATGCTGGGAGCCACTCTGGAGGGCGGCCGTGACTCGCCCGAGCTGAGGGCCGCTCTGCAGCCTTCTGGACGGCCAAAGCTCAAAGCAGGGTCTGCGTGACCTCCTTCCTCAACATGGGCGCCTTGTTCTCCATGGAGCTCAGCAAGAGACATTATCAGGCTCTGACCTGCAACAGCCACAGCAGGTGGAAAACAGGGGTGCCCAGTCAGGGAGAAGGAAGGCACTGTTCTTCTGGAATGCCAGAGTGACCCTCACCCTGGGCCCTGCCAGGCAGAGGGTGGTGGTGATGAAGGACGTGGTCAATGCCACTACCTGCCTCCTTCCTCTCTGCTCTCTTTTCCTTTCCCCCTTCTTTTCCCCAGCTACTGGCCGTATTATTTGCCCAATTCAGGCCTTTTCTGGGAAAGAAGCTACCTAACTAGATGCCTCACCCTACTCCTGCAGGTAAAAAGAAAAACACAGCTGCTAGCCCCACTCCAACCTCCTAGCTCCGAAACACCTACCCAGCTGAGGACCACCGTGAGAAACCAGAGCTAGTACGTCTACCCTCCGACTCTTGGTATCCTGGAGAACAATCCTGCAACTGGGGACAAGGAGCCATGGAGAAACGTCTGGCTCCCTCTTCCCCACCTGGACCCACCTGCTTGACCAGGGCCCCACCCAGCCTCTTCCTGGGCTCAGGCCGGACAGCCCAAGCATCTAGCTCTACAGATCTGATGTCTGACAAGGAGCAAAGATGAGCAGAGACGGGGAAGGTGGCCGACAAGCTCAAGTTTGAAGAGGGGAGCACACTAGGGAGCCAAGGCCTGGCCAGCGAGGCTGGGGCCTGGAGGAAGAGGGACCCAGGGCTGGCTGTTCTCTGGACCCAACAGCCCTGGCCTCTGAGAAGTCAACTCTACTGCCCTCCTTAGAGCAAGTGCTGCAAAGCCCAGGAAGCTGAGGAGGAATCAAGCAATCTGCATGTTTACTATCCAGGCTGTGACCTTTGACCCCGGGACCTGGCGTTGCCTTGCCAACCTGTCAATAGAATCTCCCAGGTAAGAGCAGAGTCTCAGCGGCTGGCGGGGCTTGAGACTTTGGGGGAGGTGGGCACTTCTAGCCCTGGGCCCTGACAAGCTCTGGGTGCCTCCTGGCATCCTGGGTTCCCATGGATCCCTAGCACTAGACACAAGAACGTTCAGAAAAGGAAGAAAGTAATTTTCTGAGGACTTAAATAGATGTAACACGCCGATTTTAAGATCGACCCAGTTATTTCACGATTTTAGGCCTTATAGCAAAAGTATGGAGTATTTAAAAAATCACTCTCCACTCCCCCAACTGTCCCATTCCATTAAAATTTTATTTCTCCATGATTCCCCATTTCTGGAAATGCTGTCAGCTCTGTTCAGGATCCTGTAACCACAAGCCTGCATTGTGGGAACAGAAAACTTAAGTGGGAAACAGCCACTGATACAGAGAGGATTTAAAAACCACAAGAAAGATCTGGGTCTTCGTTTCCAGGACAACAGAGGGGTGTGGGCACAGAATCTTAGAACTCAGGGCAAATGCCAGCTTCAGGAGTCCTCTAGGCCTGGGCTCCCTTCCCTGTGCCCCTCAGCAGCTCCTCTGAGATCACAATGTGAGTCACAGCACCTGGACAGACCCGACCACCCAGGCATGAGTGGTCCCAGTGGGTGAAAGCCTCTCGCACCAGCATCCAAAGCTCTGTCCCCGCCCTCTCCCCATGCCCATCTCTTGCAGGACCTGGCCGCATTTCAGCCCTACCCTCCTCCCCCCACATCGGCCTGGCCGGTGTCCCAGGACAAAGTGTGAACATCATGTCCAGAAAACCCACCGAGGCTCCCTTTCTGGGAGATGCTCTGTAAGCTCATAATGCTGGCTGTTACCTGCATCCCACCCTCCCTCTGCCTGGGACTCCCACTTTCCCCACTCTCCATCTGGATAAATGCTACCCACCTGTAATCTTCAAACCAGTCTCGAGCCCATTTAGAACCAACCCTGCCCTCAGTTGGGCACTTGGAACATTGCCACAGTCTACCTTTGCTTCTTGCAGTAGGGTCTGCCTCCCTCAGTGTGCATTCAACCTGGTTTACCTCTTTTCTCGAGCACCTAGCCAACCGCCTCCCCTAGCAAGGGCCACTGAATACACAGCCAAATGTCCAGTTGATTTTTAAGAGAGAATGGGGGAGGGGGGTGCCTGGGTGGCTCAGTCATTAAGCGTCTGCCTTCGGCTCAGGTCATGGTCCCAGGGTTCTGGGATCAAGCCCCCGCATCGGGCTCCCTGCTTGTCGAGGGGGCTGCTTCTCTCCCACTCCCCCTGCTTGTGTTCCCTCTCTCGCTGTGTCTCTCTTTGTCAAATAAATGCATAAAATCTTTAAAAATAAATAAATAAAAAATAAAAGACAACAGGGGCGGGATGTCTGTTTGGTTAACCTCATGTGCTTTACAGTTAATTCCTCTGAAAAAATAACCTCGATCCTTGTGACTATAATGTACGCTCCCTTCGTCTTAACCCTACAGTCCCCTACTCTCAAACCAAAATGAAGTCATTCAATTCAAAGAGAGCACAAACTTGGGGATGGGTGCCCAAAAGGCAAGCCTAAAGGTCTGCTTTTATTTAATCTCTCCGAGTCTGACACGCCACTGGGTATTCATACTCAAGGCTTGAAAAGCCCAGATCCCACACACCTGCTCTGGAAGCTCTCCCAAATTACCTTTAAACTTCAAGGTATGTCTCCCCTTCTTCAAGATGATAAAAGATGAGGGGCAAGGAAAACAAGCCAATCAACCAAGCAGGTGAAAAAAGCAGACATGAACAGGCTGAGGGTTAATGACAGCAACATAAAATAAGCCAGAGGCAAAGTATCCCCCAAACCAGAGAAGCCTTGGGGCATGCACAGCTGGGAGAGAGCAAGCCAGAGAGGGGGCTCGGCACTGCCTCACCTGCCACTTGTCCAATGGGGGGAACGCTACCCCATTGGAGCGGTTAAGGTCGGACACCAGCACCTTCAGGATGTCCTGAATCTACAGGCGGCAAGAAGGGAGAAACAAGGGCAAGGGGAGAGAGAGAGTGGCTTAGAGAGAGGTGAGAGAGTCAGGGAAGGAGGAAGAGGAGAGAGGGGAACAAATCCATGGCCCGGGCCGCCTTCCCAAACAGCTACCAGCTGCCTTGCTGGAGGCAGAAATCAGCATACACAGAGGGAAAAGTCCCCTGAACGAGACAGAGAATGCAGTCACCAGCCCAATGCAGCGGTTTTCTTAAGACACTCATGAGAGGGCGCCTGGGTGGCTCAGTTGGTTAAGCGACTGCCTTCGGCTCAAGTCATGGTCCCGGAGTCCTGGGATCGAGTCCCACATCGGGCTCCCTGCTCACAGGGAGTTTGCTTCTCCCTCTGACCCTCTTCCTTCTCGTGCTCTCTCTCATTCTCTCTCTCTCAAATAAATAAATAAAATCTTTAAAAAAAAAAAAGACACTCATGAGACCCGCTCCTCAGGCCCAGGATGCCGGGGACGAATCTGACAGGAATGTCATCTCCAGTTTAAAACCAGACTTCCGAGGAAGGGTTCGCTTGAACAAAGGGAGCTCCAGCTGGTAGTCTGAAAGACACTGATTTGCTCCAACACTATCATCTTACAGATGAGCCCACTGGGCCCAGGGGAGGAAGTGATTTTCCTGAGGTCGCCCAGCAAGCTGGTGGCAAAGATGGACTCAAAACTCAATGTCCCCTAACCCAAGTGCTTGGGGCTCTCCTCGCTACACCCTGGGCCCCTTCTGTTGCTTTCTAAAGGGACAGCGTGATGGCACATGGCTGCTCTCACTGCCTGGCTTCCCCTTTGAGGCTGGGGATGAGCAAAGTCACCAGATCAGTACGTCAAATACCACTACCCTTTACTGAATGTTTACCCTGCACCAGGCCCTGTGCCAGGCCTGCGTGGCTCAGTCAGTTAAATGTCTGATTCTTGATTTCTTTCGGCTCAAGCCACATCTCAGGATCCTGGGACAGAGCTCTATGTCAGGCTCTGTGCTCAGCCGGGAGTCTGCTTGAGGATTTTCTCTCTCCCTCTCCCTTTGCCCCCACGTCCCCAGCTCTCTCTCTTTAATAAATAAATCTTAAAAAAAATAAAATAAATCAACCATCTCATTCCAGTGTCACAAGTGTAAATAAGATAACATTACCCCAATTTTACTGATGTGGAAATATATCCCTAGCAGAGACATTATCCCCAGCAAAACCTGTACCTGACACTTCCTTCATGATCTTAACCACCACCCTCTACTGCCCCCTGAGCACCCTGGTCCCAGGAGCCTGGCCAGCCAATACTCACATCCTCGGGAGAGTGACAACCATCAGAAGTGGTTGTCTCTGGACTACTCCCATTTTTGATCTTCCTTTTCTTCTTCGCTCCTGCAGGAATACCAGGGCTGTTCTTCTGCTGATATTCCCTCAACTGCAGAAAAGAAAAGGAGCAGGATTCATGAGAACTATAATCCCCTGTATTCACATCCAACTTTGTAGTTTACCATATACTCCTATATTCGCCATTTGATTTAATGCCACCAACAGCCCTACAAGGTGTTGTATTTCTCAGCGACTGCAGACATGGAATGATAACTTGGCTTTAAAAAAAAAAAGAGGGGGGCAATAATGGAATTTAAACTTAGTCTTCTGACTCCGAGTTCTGGGGTTATGCCAGGAAATCAGCAAGTGCCAAGAGGCAAAACCAGAGGTGGAGATGGAAAAGTGAACATCTGGGTAATCAGACTTTAGAGTCCTTTCCTACACATCTGTTAAAGTTGCACACTGGTACTTATCAAACTTTTACATCAACGTATCCTGATGGCAGGAGGCAATGAAGGCACACACCTAGTGAATGTGGGAACGTAACAGAATGAGGACAACCCAACCACCATTTCAGAGAGAATTCTATTATAATCTTACACATCTATGCAAACATCATTCCTAGGTACATTATTATAAAATGACTTTTCTCTGTCAAGAGAATCAAGCACAACTGATGCTTCAGTCCCATATTATTCTGTGGCACTTAGGACACTCCATGTTGAGATGATGATTTGGAGAAGATTCCCACCTATGAAGTTCAGGTTCCAGAGATCTGTTCCACAGAGGATAAGCAGATCTTACTCTAAAGACCACCGATTGAGGGGGACCCTGGTCCCAGAATCATGGGGAATTAAAATGTGAGGTAGAAAATTCAGATTTAAACTGTGAAAGTCTTTCTGGACAGTAGAAACCTAGGAGGAAACCATACTAAAAAAACCACATTTTCCCCAGTTGTCACCAAGGTGTTATCAACGTTCTGCGATCACTGCTGAAGTCAATGTCTAAGGATGGGGTACAATCTTAAGAGTAAGGGCTCCTGAAACCTCTCCCACCCAGGTCCCATAGTCCCCAGTCCCCTTGAAGCTGGAAATTTGTGCCGCGATCAGAGAAACCGGAAAGGGTATGAAAACACTGGAAGACTGGGTAGTAAGATCAAACACCGGGCTCGTGGCGCTAATGACAGTTCCGAGGGGGACTGTGACGTAACTACATTCCACTCCTCCCTACCGACGCCCGAGTCGCCGCTCCGCGGTGGGGGAGGGGAAAGCAGGGCCGGGACCGAGATCCTCGGAGACCGGGACCGGGCAGGGGAGCCCAGGTCCTCCGGTTCTGGGTGGCTGATGGCGAGGGCCAAGCCCGGAGCGAGGATCCCGGGGGTCACCGGCCCAAAGTCACCCGGGGGCGACGGGCGAGGGCGGGGGCTGGGCTGCCGGGGGGGCGGGACTGGCTGAGAAGACTTTGGGGGGGCGCCAAGGGGCGCCGAGGGGCTCGCCCTGTGTGCCTCAGGGGCAGCACAGACTGGCCACGGCCCAGCCTTCGCAGGGGCCTTTGGCTGGGTCAGGGAGCCGCGACCCGGCACGTTTTACCTTCTTCTTGGCCGCAGCCAGTTTGCTCTGTCGGGTTTCTTCCGACATCCCGGGACGGGGAGGGGGGAAGGGGGGCCACATCATCAAGATCCCGACAACCACCGCAGAAGTGCTTCCGGTAGTCACCGCGCTGATGTGCGACTGAGCCAGGAAAGGAGGGACCCAGGAGTTTCTAGGCAGCAGCTGGGTGGGCCCCTCAATACCTCAATCCTATTGGTCGCTGAGAAAGATGAAAGGGAAGGGGGCGTGGCCAGCCCGCCGCGGGCCTCCAGGGACAGGTGGAGTCACAATGAAAGCTGAGCGCGCAGCCGCAGTCCCCGCCCACCTCGAGGGAGGGGCGGGGCCTGAGCTCGCAGGGTGCGCGCGCACCTCGCTTTTTGACCGTTCGCGGTCTGCGTCATAAGATTCCGAATACCTGGCGGGCCTGAGGGGCCGCTCTCCCGCCCTCGCCCTGGACCCTCCTGCACTGCATACTCCCCCGAGACGGGGACCCCGGACCCCAGGGCTCCGGACGTGGGCGCGAGGAGCGGAGAACAGGCCGAAAGGGTATCCCTTCACAGCCCCTTTCCTGACTCCCGCCATCCCTGCCCCAGACGCTCTCGTCCCAGAGATCACTTCCGTGTACCCCCATCTAGCCCTCCACACACTTCCCCCTCTCAGAGCCTCCCCTTCCTTGAGCATCCCGAGCCTGATCCCGGACCATAACTGCCCCTTCCCAACTCCTAACCTCCCCACACCCCTTTCCTCCCAGAGCGGACTCTAGGTTCAATCAGCATTTTTTCCCTCGGATTCCTCTCCAGGACTCAACCAGGACTTTCCAAAAGTTGCCGCGGGGCCTTCCAATCCCCTGTGAGTATGCCTGTGCACCCCCCCCCCTTTTTCTGGCCCTCCACCGTGGAAGGCAGTGCTGCTCCCAGTCTTCCTGCCCACCCCAGCCCTCTTCAAGCCTTCCCCCAGCAGACCTTGTTCTGCTGAGAAACTCCAGGTCATTTCTCAGTCCTTCCCCTTTTTTCCTCCCTGCCCACCAAGCTTCAAAGAAGAAGCAGTGTCCTGGCCTTTGCGGTGGTACCCCAGGCTCTCCCAGTGGGCTCTGTCTCTCCTCCTTCCTGACAGCACAAGTGGTTGGTTTTGAAAACACCACGATCCCCTCCCTCACCTGTCCCACCCCACACAGAAACCACCCTTATTCCCTCAGACGTGTGTGCTCTCTCCTGCCTTGGCCCTTTCGATATACTGTCCCCTTCTGGAATACTTTCCTTCCAGCTCTTTAGCAAGGTGATGCCTGCTCATCCGTTAGAGCTGAGAGGTTCCCTCAGAGAAGCTTCACCCCCACTTCTGACTCAGTCCAGTTGCTCATTTAGACACTCCCTTCGCACACTGTACTTCACCTTAAAAGCACTTTTCAGGCTTGTCGTTAGTTGATTATTTGTCATTCACCCATTCATCTGACGCATTTTATTGAGTGCCTACCACGTGCCAGGCACTGTTGGGGACACAGTGAACAAAACACCGTCCCTGCCCTCATGGGGTTTAAACTCCAGTGGCGTAAGGCCGGCAATGAACAGAGTATTATTAATGAAATGTATATGTCAGGTGGTGATGGATGTTATACAGTATCAGGACAAAAGAATAGTGAGCCATTGGGGAGTGACCATTTTAGGCGGGGTGGTCAGCGAAGGCCTTCCTGATAAAATGTGAGTAGAGCTTTAAATGGAGATATCTGGAGGAAAAACATAATTATTGGGTATTTTAGGTAAGTTCCGTGAAGGCAGGGGCCAGGCTTGATGTCTTATCCATTGCTGAGTCCCTGGAACCTTTGCCAGTGCCTAGCAGATGGTGCCTACTCCCTCTCTGTCAACTGATTAAAAGCCTCTGTCCTAAGAGTAGGAACCATGTCTTCCTTGGCTTCTTCTTGTAACATGTGTACATGGTTGACCCAACACACATTTCCTAAAGATTAGCAGTGTACCAGGCACTGGCCTTTGCAACTTTTAGAGGCAGAGAGGGCAAAGATGAACTGCAGCCCCAGGGAAGGGGTTTGTTACCCAATGAAATTATAAGCCCGGCGACATCATAGACTTGGGCATCCAAGAAATAGACGTGAGGCAGGTTATCTGGGGTCAGATTAGGGACCAGGATGAGCCCTTTAATTAGGATTGGGTGTGGCTTAGGAGTGAAAGAAAACCCCAAATAACGGTGGCCTAAACAGACCTCAGGGTCCCAGGCCTCTATCTTGTTCCACTGCACCTTCAACGTGGTTCTAGCTTATCGCCCAAGGTGCTGTTCAGTTCTTTCATTACATCCACATTCTAGCCAGCAGGAAGGAAGAAGGAAGGCCAGAGAAAGGCGTACCCTTTCCCTGGAAGGACAGTTCCCAGAACTTGCATTCATGACTTCTGACTAACTTCCACTCGCCAGAACTTAGAGAGCTACATCTAATAACAAGGGCAGCTGGGCAATGTAATCTTATTAGGGGGTGGGGGGGTGTCAGTCACCAAGCAGAAGGGGGGCGGTGGTTGTTGGGGACAACTTGTAGGTTCTGAATTGTGGATAATGGGTCAGTCTGGCTGATGACTTTATGTGCCACACAGCGGCCATCTCCCAAGTCTGGCCAGGCTGATGGGGCCAGCGAGGATTCGCTGCACCTCGACATTCAGAAACTGAAGGAGAAGAGGGACCTGCTGGACAAGGAGATCACCCAGTTAATATCTGAGTAAGTCTTGCTGGGCTCCTCAACATGCTTAAGATAACTTTTAACCGGAGGCCCAGTAACTGAAACCCAGCCACACTAGCTTAGCGTAAAACCAGGACCGTGCCCTGCCGAGGGACTCAGCGTGTCAGCAGCCTCTCTCCGGTAGGGTGTGGTCAGACCTGGGAGGAGCAGGAACTAGGAAGCGGAAAGCTGTCCCTAGCAGAGGTTATCACTCGGTCCCTCTCTGCCTCTTCCATCTGCACACCGACTCCATTCTCTCTCTGCAGTTGGGCTCTCCAGGGCCTGGAGGAAGCTGGCTCTTCCACAACTCCTGGACTTTCTCACACCTCTTGCTCCAGCCATGTGGCATAGACTGAGCAGCCTTTGAATGTGCATTTCACATGGGAGGGGCTCTGACTAGCCACTCATGTGCCCATCTGTGAATCCCCCTGCTGTGGCCTGGGTCACACAGTACCAGTGTGGCCGCAAACCACTCCCTAAGGGCACAGGGAGATTGGCCAGGAGTGAGGGGCTAGGCAGATCCCCTGCCCTACCGTAAGCTTCCTGAGGGCAGGGTCTGTCTTGTCCCTAGTAGGTCCTTAGTGAACATTTGTGTAGTTTGTTTTTTTTTTTAAGATTTGATTTCTTTATTTGCCAGAGAGAGAGTACAAGCAGGGAGAGTGGCAGGGAGAGGGAAAAGCAGATTCCCTGCTGAGCAAGGAGCCTGATGTGGGGCTCAATTCCAGGACCCTGAGAGCCACCCAGGCATCCCATGAACATTAGTTAAATAGATGCCTTGTGGGAACCTGGTGGCGCAGTCAGTTAAGCGTCTGCCTTGGGCTCAGGTCAGGATCTCAGGGTCCTGGGATTGAGCCCCACATCAGGCTCCTTGCTTAGCAGGGAATCTGCTTCTCCTTCTGCCTGCCGCTCCCCCTGCTTGTGCGCTCTCTCTCTCTCTCTCTCTCTCTCTGACAAATAAATAAATAAATAAAATCTTTAAATAGATGCCTTGTTACTCTCTGAACGTTGGATCCTCCTCAGCTTTCTTAAAGATTCTCTTTCTCTCTCTCCACCCCTCACCCCAGAGGCTACAGTGTGGATGAACTGGAGGACCACATCTCCCAGCTCCATGAATATAATGACATCAAGGATGTAGGCCAGATGCTGCTAGGCAAACTAGGTGAGCAGCAGGACCCCAGAGGAGCAGCCTTCGGAGGGAAGGAGTCCGCACTCCCCCGGGTGTCTGGATTTTGCTCCTGGGCCCTCTAACTTGCCAGCCTTCCCATCCTTCTCAGCTGGCCCATTCCCCGAATGCCCCGAAGCAGCTGTACAGCTCTTGCAGGAGTCCCTGGGGTCTCTTCCCTCAAGTGTAGAGTCTGCTTCAGAGCCCCAGGCAGGTTTGACCATGAACTTGCCTACCTGCTCGATTGTGGGCTGTGGTTCCCGGTCTTCTGGGGCCTACTCAGACTGATTGGTACACCACCCTTACCTCAAGTGGTTGACTCGCTACAGAGGCAGAAAGTCACAGATGGGTGACTTTGTGGCTTCAAGGAGTATTTTGTTCTTCCTTGAACAGTCTATCCAGAGGGCTTGGCCAAGGCACAGACACCTGTGTGCCTAGGCTGGTTAGGACAGTCCACTTTGGAAGCACGCAAAGGTATGGATGGCCTCAGTCTGGTCACCTGGCTGGGGCCGGTGGGCACTCCAGCGTTCAGCACGCAGTGACTGTTGGGGACAGGGTGCAGGGCTGGGATGTCTGCCTGGTCGCTGCAGGAGTTTAGCACTTCCTGTAGAATTGCCTATCAGCATCCGGGAGTCTGTGGCAGGGAGGGCTTCTCTGTTCCAGTGGGGAATGGGTCCTGAGGAAGGAAAGGAGATAACGGGAGGAGGGAAGTACAGATGGAGGAAGGAGGATGATCGGACCCCAAGGAGAAAAGAAGGTGAGGGGGCCGTAGCCTGGTGGCTAAGGGCATCCCCTCTTGTGAGATAGAACCCAGCTTGAGACCTGTTTTTCCAGGCCTGGAACCTGGAGAGGACAGGGCAGCCTATCCTCTGAGGTTATATTTACTGAGCACCTACTCTGTGTTGCTCTGCAGGGTGTGGGGCACTCTAGTGACCCAGACACCTGGAGGACCCTGTTCTCATGTGACTTAGGTTTTGGTGTGTGGGGGAGGGGAGGGGAATGGTCAATAAGTAAAGGAACACAAACAAAGGAATTATAAAATGTGTTAATCGCTATGAAGGAAACAGGCCCGGGGCGCCTGGGTGGCTCAGTCGTTAAGCATCTGCCTTTGGCTCAGGTCATGATCCCAGGGTCCTGGGATCGAGCCCCGCATCAGGCTCCCTGCTCGGCGGGAAGCCTGCTTCTCCCTCTCCCACTCCCCCTGCT